AAAAAAAAAAAAAGATCTAGTCTTTTAGCAAATGTCATGTATACCACACAGGATTAATAACTATAACTTCCATGCAGTATAAATATCCAGAACCATTCCTCTTGCCTAATGAAACTTTGTACCCTCCCCGCCCAGTTTTATTGAGATATAATTGACCTATAACACTGTTTAAGGTGCACAACATGATTTATGTATTTATTGCAAAGTGATTGCCACAATAAGTTTACTCAATATCCATCACCCCACACAGTTACAATTTTCTCTGTCTCTCATTGTGAGAACTTTTAAGATCTACTGCCTTAGCAACTTTCAAATACACAATGCAATATTAACTATAGTCACCATGTTGTACATTATATCCCCAGAATTTATTTATCTTAAAACTGGAAGTCTGTACCTTTTGACCACCTTCACTCATTTTCGCTACCTCCCCACCCCCTCGCTATGGCAACCACCAATCTGTTCTCTGTTTCCATGAGTTAGCATGGTTTTCCCCAGATTCCACATATAAGTGAGATCATACAGCATTTGTCTTTCTCTTATTTCACCTAGCACAATGCCCTCACGTTCCATCCAGTTTGCTGCAAATGGCAGGATTCTTTTCTTTCTCGTTGAATAATATTCCACTGTGTGTGTATAGAATTTTCTTCATCCTTTCATCCATCGATGGACACTTAGGCTGTTCCCATATCCTGGCTATTGTAAATAATGCTGCAATGAACATGGGATACAGATATCTTTTTGAGATAGTGGTTTCATTTCCTTTGGACATATACCCAGAAGTGGATTGCTGGATCATATGGTAGTTCTATTTTTAATTTTTCGAGGAACATCCACACCATTTTCCATGGTGGCGGCACCAACTTAACATTCCCACCAAGAGTGCACGAGGGGTCCCCCTTTTCCACATCTTCACCAACATTTGTTATCTCTTGTCTTTTTGATGATAGCCATTCTAACAGGTGTGAGATGGGACCTGTGATTTTGATTTGCATTTCCCCAATTAGTGATTTGGAGCACCTTTTCAAATACCTATTTGTCATTTGTATGTCTTCTTTGGAAAAATGCCTCTTCAATCCCTCTGCTCATTTTTTTGATCAGATTGTTTGTTCTTTTTGCTACTGAGTTGTAGGAGTTCTTTACATATTTTGGATATTAACCTCGTCTCAGAGCCATGATTTGTACGTATTTTCTCCCATGCCTTACGTCGCCTTTCCATTTTGTTGATGGAAGGAGCCCTGCTGTGCAGAAGCTTTTTGATTTGATGTGGTCCCACTTGCTTAGTTTTGCTTGGTTGCCTTTGCTCTTGGTGTCAGAAACTTCGCACCCTCTGAGCAACATCTCCCTGTTTCCCCCTCCTCCCAGCTAAGTAGATTTTTAAAGTGTTCCGTATTTCCCAATCCTATTCGTTGAATAATCCATTCTTCCCCACAGATTTTTAAATGGAATTTTTATAGAAAATGCTTACATAGGGGCGCCTGGGTGGCTCAGTCGTTAAGCGTCTGCCTTCGGCTCAGGTCATGATCCCAGGGTCCTGGGATCAAGCCCCGCATCGGGCTCCCCGCTCCGCGGGAAGCCTGCTTCTCCCTCTCCCACTCCCCCTGCTTGTGTTCTCTCTCTCGCTGTGTCTCTCTCTGTCAAATAAATAAATAAAATCTTAAAAAAAAAAAAAAAGAAAGAAAGAAAATGCTTACATATACGTGCCTGTATTTTGTGTCTTTAATGTTGTATATGTGATGTATATTCCTGGCCCAGTACAATTCTGTTTTGTTTTATTTTACTTTACTTTATTTTTACATAGGCTCCATGCGCAACACAGGGCTTGAACTCATGACCCGGAGATGGAGAGTCACACGTTTCACTGACTGAGTCTGCCAGGCGCCCCAACTCTGTTTTAATCACTACAGTTAAATACGAGATTTTCATATTCACAGCTCTCCTTCAGTGCTTTCCTTCTTCATTGTGTTCTTTGCTATTTTCATGCATTTTTCCAGATACGTCTTAAAATCTTTACACAAGCGATCTAGGGACTGTGGCACTTTGATTGGAGTTGTGTTGAAATGGTGCATTTGTTTGGATGGAATGATCTTTATAATTAAGATTCCCACTTAGAAACAGGATATGGCTCACTGTGTAGTCAGATCTTCTGACATGGCCTGCAGCACAGTTGTTTTCTTTCATATAAATCCTACACATTTTGCAAATTTTTGTTCCTTTCATGAATGAGGTCTTTTTTCTTCTTCCATGTCGTCTTATAGCTGACGATTGGGTATGTGCAGGAAAAAGCCGCCGTCTGTTTTTGCTCTTGTTTAATCTGGAACATTTCACCAATTGCGTCACCGTACAGGGCCGCGTTCATGTTCATTATCATTTCACTTTTTGTACATGTGCTGACAATAAAAGCAAAGCAAAAGCCTTTCTCTTCTCCAATATTTTATTTCGAAGATATCAAACAGGTAGAAAAGTTACAAGGACTTTACAGTAACGACCTATACACCTGCCGCCCAGAGGCTACCACTAACGTGGTACTCCACCTGTCCTTGCACGGTCTCCCTACCCGTGGTTTACTCTTCACTAATGCATCTTCCACATTGTTGAAACAGGCACCGACCTCATCCGTGAAGGCCTTCGCTAGCTCCCCCCGGGCCTGAGGCCGAACTGTCCAGCCTAACCGACAAGGCCCTCCACAAGCTGCCCCCCACCCACCTTTTCAGGATCACTTCCCAAAGCTCTTCTTTGCGTACGAAGTGTTCTTTACCAGAACGGCTCTTACCCAGACCCAATGAAATCCTATTTCCCTTTCATCTCCACCTGAAATAGCACCTGCGTTGCCGAGCCCTGCCAGCCTTCCATGACTGTAGCAGTTGCCCCCATCAAGCTCCTATAAAGCTCTGGCCATGGCATCATAACATACTATAAATATTCTGTATATGTCTGTCTTCCCCACTAGACCATGAGATCACCAAAAGCGAAAGCCCACCTCGTTCCTCTCTGTATCCCACTGCTGAGCGGGGTTCCTGACACACCTTGAGGCTCAACAGACCTTGGGTCCAGGAGGTAAGACTCCAAGATGACTGAGGTACACCAAACCCTCAGCTCCCTGGCAGACCGCCTTGGAGTCTGGAGAGCAGAGTACCCACCTGTACAGACATGCCCAGATCTAGCTTCAGCCCCATACAGGGGTCGATGAAGATGGTGAGGATGAGCTCCGAAGGGTCCTGGGCAAAGTGTTCCAGAATGGCATCATGCTCCGCTGTCCAGACGGCATCCGCTAGTCCTGTCAGCACAGCTCGGGACAGGAAAAGGGGCTTCTACAGAAGGAGAGCAGAGAACCGAAGCAGGTACAGCTGTTAGGATGAGTCATTTCTCCCATTCACAAGTGCGCGTGAGGACACGGGAGACGAGAAGTCATAAGGGTCCGGAATGGTGAAGAGAAGGCTGAGGATGAACTGAGTGATAGGTTTCAAGCTTCTGAAGAAACAAGACAATGAGATTCCCTTGTTTCTACAAGTAAAACGAGAATAGATCACTAGACGAAAAGTGGGGGATATTATCTTCCCAAGATATCTCCTTTATGCCTGTGGTTGTAAAAACGCATCGTCAAGCAATCCTCAACCTCAAAGTAAAACTAAGTCAAGGGAACCTGTAGGATATTAGCCTAAAGCAAGCAACCAGGAGCAAAGATGGCAAGCCAGAAAAAGGATAAGGCTGCAGCCTCCCCGGGGTACCGAAGTAATAGGAGATATCCAGTGAAAGCCAACTGGCATAGCAGAAAGGAAGAAGGGAGGGGAAAAGACAAGACTGGGAAACACCAAAGAACACATCAATTAGATGAAAAATAAATTGTGCTCGCTTTGGCAGCACATATACTAAAATTGGATGAAAAATAAATTATAACTGGTGACTCTAAAAAAATTCACCTGTAGAACTCCACTAAATAATTCAGGAAACTTGGGGCACCTGGCTGGCTCAGTCTGAGGAACGTGTGACTCTTGATCTCAGGGTCGTGAGTTCAAGCCCCACGTTGGGTGTAGAGATTACTAAAGAAAATAAATAAGCTTTAAATATTTAAGGAAATTAGGGGCGCCTGGGTGGCTCAGTCGTTAAGTGTCTGCCTTCGGCTCAGGTCATGATCCCAGGGTTCTGGGATCGAGCCCCGCGTCAGGCTCCCTGCTCCGCGGGAAGCCTTCTTCTCCCTCTCCCACTCCCCCTGCTTGTGCTCCCTCTCTCGCTGTGTCTCTTTCTCTGTCAAATAAATAAATAAAAATCTTTAATAAATAAATAAATATTCAAGGAAACTAGAAGACATGAAGAGGAACATGGGAAGTCACTCTGTCCTTCTCCCAGTTCTCCTGGAAGATAAGGAGTCTCTTTCACTTAAAGTTTCCAAATCAAGAAAACTCAGTGCTCTAAGATCTCTCTCATACAAAGATGTCGATGAGCCTATGAGGAAAACACAACGACGCCAGGAAAAGAATGCACAAAAGGACATGAACAGGCGTGTCACCTCATAGAAATCAGAAAGTGAAAATACGAAAAAATGTCCAATTTCACTTGAAATCAAACAAATACAAATAAAAATAGCAAAGATAGAGCATTTATTGCTACGCTGCTCACACGCAGGCCTGGAAAGCGCTTGCTGCTAGCATGAGGCCAGAACGTGCCACTCCTCTGGAAAACAGCTGGGCGTCACACACCAAGCTTGTCCCAGCCTGACTCAAGGTGGGGACACAAGGAAGCGACAGCTACAAGACCTGTCCCTCACTTAAAGCTGTCTCCTGGGGGCGTGGGGGACAGGGACCGGATTTGTGGTGAGCAGGCTCCCAGTAGATAGAAGAGAATTCCTCGCACGCCATTGTACAACTAACCCTCGGATTCACCGGTTATTGGGGAAGAATGTTTGTCTCGGGGAAACCCTAACTCACCACATCCACCTCGGGCTCCGGTAATTCTTCCTTCTCTACTTCGGGTTCCTTCAGTGGTGGCTCTGGGAAGAATAAAAATTCCAAGATGAAGTCGTTCCTTCAAAACTTAAACACAGAGTCACCCTATGACCCAGAATCACCACATGACCCCACCATATTCCGCTTCCAGGCGGATCCCCGAGAGAACTGGAGGTGGGGACTCCAACAGACACTCGGAGCACCCATGTTCACGGAAGCACGATTCACAGCAGCCAAAAGGCGGAAACTCAAGTATCCATCAACAAATGACGTGATCCACAAACTGCAGGGGAATATGATTCAGCGCCTGGGTGGCTCAGTCATTAAGCGTCTGCCTTCGGCTCAGGTCATGATCCCAGGGTCCTGGGACCGAGCCCCGCATCCGGCTCCCTGCTCAGCAGGAAGCCTGCTTCTCCCTCTCCCACTCCCCCTGCTTGCGTTCATCCTCTCACTATCTCTCTGTCAAATAAATAAATAAAAATAAAAAGGAACAGAGGTTGGCCACCTTGCCAAACCAGGGAGGAACCAGTCACGAAAGACCGCACGCTGTATGAATCCATTTACAAGAAATGTCGAGAATCAGCAAATCCACAGAGACAGAAAGTGGATTGTTGGTTATCAGGATCTGTGGGGGTGTGGCTGCTAAAAAAAACTAGACTCTGATGCAAGTAAAGATATAGGGTCATCCAGGGGCGCCTAGGTGGCTTAGTCGGTTAAGTATCCGACTCTTGATTTCCACTCAGGCTCCTGGGATCGAGCCGGAGTTAGGCTCCCTGCTCAGCGGGGAGTCTGCTTCTCCCTCTGCCTCCGCCCTGCCCCCTGCTTGTGTTCGAGCTCGCTCACTCTAATAAATAAAATCTTTTTTTTTTTAAGTGTTTTCAAATTACAAATATGGAATTATAAACCTGTCCTTCCTTCTTTTCTTAATGGGAATTGAGGAAGGCTTAAGGAAGCAAAGGCTGTTAATACAGACCTCCAAAGGGTGTCTGCCCTTTTACCCATCTTTACCAAGAAGCATCTTAGGCCCTTCTTCGACCCAGCATCTGCTATAACAAAATACCACAGACTGGGTGGCTTATAAACACCAGAAACTTATTTCTCACGCTTCTGAAGGCTGGAAGTCCTAGATCACGATGCCAGCCTGGTCACTTCTTCTGGGTCACGGACTTCTCATGGTGTCCTCACATGGAAGAACCGGGCAAGGGATCTCTCTGGAACCACTTTCCTAAGGCACTTATCGCATCCATGACATGTTTTAAGCCCTCTCATGATTTAAGCACCTCTCAAAGGCCCCACCTACTAATCCCATCACATTGGGCATTAGGATTTCAACACCAAGTTGGGGGGGGGGGGATGGCACACAAACATTCAGACCATAGCAGGGCCCCCTGTCTCCAGGGGGACAGGCCTCAATCCCTCCCCAACTCCCAAGGTGACAGGGATTACCGTGTGTTTCGGGGCTGCTCTGGAGGCCCAGAGCCTCTCTGAGCCTCCGTTGGGGTTATGTGTCTCTACGTCAAACAATAAAAAGGCTTAGAGCTCAGGGAGGCCTAGATTCTTTGTATTTGCTGGTCAGTGCTTTCACCTAGAATCTCCTTCCCTTCCCACACTCCCAGTTTGGAGGGTTCTCCAAACTGAACCTCGCCGCCTCTCCTGCTCCCTCCCTCTATTCCCGGTACCTAGCCTCTGGGAGCCAGTCCCACTTGAAATGCTTCCAAGAGAACTCAGAAGGAAACATGTTGCATATTTCTAACGTCTGGATCCTAGGGACCCCGTGTACCCTGGACCCTTCTCCCACACCCATATTTAATCTCCCCGCTTTTAATATCAAAAGGAGATTCCATTTCTCTCCATCTTGACAGGCTGCCAACAGGGTAAAGAAGCCCCATGGAAAAGAGGAGGGCTATGCTTAGTTCATAGTCATATCTGCACTGTCCAGTGCTCTAAGGGACAGCCCAGGGACAGCGACAGCCACCCAAAACCTTCTAACCCACAGGGCCGGAGTCCCTCGATCAAAGCCACGGGAGGCAGACTCTTTAAACTCTTTTCTCCCCTGCCCACCCCCCCCCCCCGATGTAGACATCAGGCTGCTTTTCTCGTGGCCCTGGACCTGAACCTCCTGAGTCGACCGAGGCCCCTGCCAAAATGAAGGCAGAACTACAAGAGCTTGAAACAGATGGGAGAAAGCATCCGTCAGGCTTAGGATTCAAAGGGTGGCAAAGCAGGCTGAGTCTCCATGGTGATGGGCTTAATGGGAGAAAAACATTATTTGTTTTGCCACCCAGGGTGAAAATGGGAAAAAGGAAGAGATCAAACCCTCTTCGGTGTGGTAGGAGCAACCGGGAACACTCGAAGTCAGGAGAAAGAGGCGAAGATAATGGACTGGCTAGCGAGCTCTTGGTGCATTGGTGGGGGGATGGGGGGGTGGGGCGGATAGGAAGACAGAAAGAACAGGTATGAGGCTGGCCAGGAGGAAAACACAGAAGAAGGACCCCAGCAGCAGGCCTTAGATTCCACCAAATCCCTAGCTTATAACCCAGGAGCAACAGCCCTCAGACCCTCTTTAAATACAAACATTCTGCCTCCAAGCTCCTCCCCAGCAGGTACCCACCAGGCTCCTCTTTGAGGGGCTCAGGCTCCAGCTCAGGCTCGTCAGAGGACAGGGGGTTCTCCGCAGGCTGCGAGGCCAGCTCCGCCTGACCAGCTCTCCTGCGGGCGCCTCCGCGGCTGGCACTTCCCCGGACACTCAGTTTCCTCCTCTTCTCCGCTTTGCTGGACATGGTGCAGGCAGGACCTGCAGACATGCGAGCAGCTGGGGGTCCACCACCAGAGCCACCCTCACCCCGCCCCCCAGGATACTCAGTCCCCTCTGAATGCACGAACTGAGACCCCACTCCGTATCATACTCTCATCTGGGGATACCCACACCCTGCGCCATGAACCACAAGGGGTCTTGCAGAGCTCACTCCCTTCCCTGGGGAATCCCACTTTCTTCAGTGTATTGGGTCAAAAAATCAAAGTCAGTCCCTTAAGGCTTTAGGAATGAACGAAAGTTGAAGAGGGTAGCCTCTAACAGACACCCGCTAAGGAGGACTTAGGAACCCCTCTCTCTGCCCAGAAGTGTCAGAACGGAAAAAACCTACCAAGCTGAGGGGTGGTTGCACACACCTCAACCACCTTACCCCTCAGGGCCATGGGTGAGTGAGAGAAGGCCCAGGGAAGGGAAGACTGTCCCCAGGTTCCCCACCCTTGTCTCTGTGTCAAGTCAATGAAACACCCCAAGATGATTTTCCTATGTAGCTCCTTTCCTCCCAGCTTACTAATAACCACCCCCCAAGAGGGGAGGGGGGGCATGGAAAATTCTCCTCCTACCCACACTAAAATGTTCAACCTCCTTAAGCAAAGAAAAACCATATTTGTGACATGTCTCTCTAGCTTTTCATTGCTGGTGGTCTGGGGGGGTAGGTAGGAACCCTGTTTTGTGTGTACTGAAAGGGTCTCTTAGGGCGCCTGGGTGGCTCAGATGGTTAAGCGTCTGCCTTCGGCTCAGGTCATGATCTCAGGGTCCTGGGATCGAGTCCCGCATCGGGCTCCCTGCTCCTT